TAGCACTTGTCAAACCCTACAAAAGCAAACACCAACATTCTCGAGAGCAGTGTAGCCGGCAACGAGGATGCAGCGTCAACCCGCAAGTACATACAGCGGCTGGAGCAGCCCCGCACGGGTGCTACAATGCAGCAGCCACCTTCTGCTGCTGTGGCAGTGAGCTCAAGTCTCCAGAGCACACAGCGTGGCGTGGACACCTCCGCCCGGGTGAGCGCCTCACCTCTGTGGAACATTGCCTGTGGCAGTAAAGAGTCATCGACCATCTCATGGAGTTTTTTCATCATATATAAAATAGGTAATAAACAAAATATGTCAACCTGAATGTTCCTATTTCCAGTAACTGCAGGCTGTTTTTTGGTAGTTAAATATAGGAGGAATCAAAAGTTATGGGTAGATTTTCAGCTAGTCAGTAGCTTTAACCCTTAACTGCACAAGGGACTACTGAATTACACATCAGAGAGCTAAAAACAAATGGATTTTAAGGCCAGCAAGGTGGCTCAGGAAGTACTGCTTGCTGCCAAGCCTGACGGCCTGAGTTCAATACCCAGAGTCAGCAAGGCAAAGCAGAAACCCCATTCCTGAAATCTCTCTACACACACCTACATACACACACACAAAGGCAGGTACAGATTTTTTAAATGACTCTGAAATATATCATAAGAATACGAAGTATGAAATGGTAAATATATCAATTAGCTAAACATGATCATTTTACAATGTATTTATGCATAAAAAACAAACTGTGTCTAATAAAGAAACAATTATCAGTCACTTAAAATAAGAGAAGAAGGTTAGAGACAGTTTCTCAGGTAAAGGTGCTTGCCACCGAGCCTAACAATGTGAGTTTGATTGCTGGTACCCTCATAGTGGAAGGAAAGAAATTATTAGCTCCTGTCCTCCACACATAAGCCCTGGCATCCATACGAACACGCACACACACAAAGGGGGAGAAAACAAATATAAAATGTAATTAAAACTTTTTAAATAAAACTAAAACTGGTGAGATGGCTTAGCAGGTAAAGGTGTCTGTCACCATGCCTGATGACTTAAGTTCAATCCTCTGGACCCATAGGTAGAAAAAGAGGATGGACTCCAGCAGATTGCCACCTGGATCATCACATAGATGACCTCAGCATGTATGTAGCCACACACATGCAAACAACACAACAACAATGTAAAAATAAGAAGTCAGGCTGGAGAGATGGCTCAGTGGTTAAGAGTACTGACTGTTCTTCCAGAGGACCCAGGTTCAATTCCCAACACCCACTAGGGAGCTCACAACTGTCACTCCTGTTCCAGGGGGTCTGACACCCTCACACAGACATACATGCAGTCAAAACACCAATTTACATAAAATAAAAAATAAATAAGTTAAAAAAATTAAGAGCAAGGCCTGGTGGCACATGCCTGTAGTCCCAGCACTCTGGCAGATCTCTCTGAGTTCAAGGCCAGCCTGGTCTACAAAGTGAGTCTAGGACAGCCAAGGCTACACAGAGAAACCCTGCCGGGAGCCAAGGCCAGCTAGTGGAAAGCTACAGAGAGCTGCAACAAGGTCGTAGGTGAGAGATTTACGTTTCCGGAACCTATGAGACATCTGTGCATCAGGCTAGACATTTTGGGATATCTTAGCTGACATTCTTGTAATATCTCTTTTAGTAAACATTCTTGCGGTGTTCTGCATCATCATTAATCACCCTGTTACACTTTGTAAACTATATTGCTGACACATTTTCCCTTCCTGCCTTCTCCCTATAAAGTTGTGTGAAATTTTTCAAATAAATGAGAGCGAGATCAGACTATAGACTTGTGTCTCCTTGTCGTCACTTCATTCTTTTCGCCCCTCCTTAGGAACTCATTGAACTCCCGCTGGACGGGACAAAACCCTGTCTCAAAAAGCCAATAGATAGATAGATATTATTAAAAAAAAAAAAAAGACATCCCATACAACTATGGACTCTATCACCAACTTAAGCTATTCACCTCTTCATACATGATTGTAAGTGACTAAACAGACATTAAACCCAGTTTCTCCCCTAGGCTTATTGCAACTGCTTTTTTTTTTCTAAGACTGATTATTGACTGATTGATTGATTGATTGATGTGTATGAGTGCTCTATCTGCATATACACCTGCATGCCAGAAGAGGGCATCAGTTCCTAGTATAGATGGTTATGAGCCGCCATATGGTTGCTGGGATTGAACTCTGGACCTCTAGAAGAGCAGTCAGTGCTCTTAACTGCTGAGCCATCTCTCCAGCCCCTCTAACTGGTCTTATACTGCCTCTTCAATTTCTATCTAATAAGATTAAGTCAAGTAAAAGGGAAAGTGCATACGCACACACACCTTCATAATTAACCCTACTGTCTAGGTCTTTTCTGAGCATGCACTTTACCCAGACAGGCCACTTTGCTATGAAGATGGTAGGCATTCAAGTCGGATGCTGCAACAACCGCCATCGAAGGGTGCATGGTGACGACCATAGTCAGGAGGGCGGCATTCTGAGTCAGTCAGTGATTAGCTCAAGCCCAGAGAACCAACCGGCCAGCTAGAGATCTCAAGATCTCCAACTCAGAGGCTCTGCAGGGCTGGAGCCTGCACAGGTCCGTCAGTGTCCACCAGGTTGGACACCTAGCCACTATCCTGAAGATGAACCCAGGCATCCGGTCTGGTGAGGGCTGCAGAACTGCATCAAGAAGCACCTCCGTTTCTACAGTAATGCTTATACTTCATCAAGTCTGCATACCTATTGATAATCTCCCTTTAATCAAAAAGGGGTCTGGAAACGACAGTGTCTCTTTCTAGATTTGGTCATATAAAACATCACAGGATTGAATCACAGCAGTCTATGCTAGACAGAAATGAAACTGAAAACATTTCACCCACTTTGTATGATCTAACTAGAGTGAAACAATATATTCCAAGAAGAAGCAACCAGACATTCACACTTTATAAGACTGTAAGACCTAATAACAAGCAGTGCCCCTCACATCCAGCTCCAGAGTAACTATTCATTTCTGGGCTGTTGTTTATTTGGGGGGGAGGGGAAGGAGGCCTTTGGAAAATGTGAATGAGCACACAAGGAGCCTGAGATCCCCAGAAATAAAGCTTCCTTCACATCTACTTGCCCTAATCAAGCTCTCCTCGGTGTGCTAAGAGGCCTGGTCTCCCGAGAGCCAAAGGAGATCATCTTCCACACACCAGATGTGCTACCCTGGACCCACAAGGCGAGCTACAGAAACTCTGGTTCAGCAGAGTTGACAACTGCACACGTGTAAATTCCCACGGTCACTTATATATACCTTCCTTGATATAATTTGAAGGCATGTTCTTAGTGGAGTGCAAGCAGAGTCCAATCTCACCTGTCACCACTTGTTCTTGTCTAAAGGCCAATGTGAAAGCTAAAATGAGAGCTTGTATGAAAACCACTCGCCCACTATTGCAAACAAGGGAGTCCTTGCAACAATGTTTTTAAAAACAGTTTGCAGCCAGTGTAGTAGTGCATGCTTTTGACTCCAGCACTGGGGGAGGCAGGGGCAGCTGGTGAAGCCAGGTGATCTACATAGTGAGTTCCACACCGGCTGAGGCTATAGGAGACCCTGTTTCAAAAAACAAAACAACACAAAGAACATCCAAAAGCATTTTGTATTCCCAAAACATTTAAAACTGTTCTACTAATCATTTTTCTAGGCAATCTTCCTTAAAGCGGTACTGTCTAAAACCCTTCCCAGGGCTGGGGAGAGGCTCATCAGGTGCGTGCCATCAAGCCTGAACCCACAAGGTGGAAGGAGAGACTCCACTCCTCCAAACTATGCTCTGATCTGCACTTGCAGGCCATGGACACACGCACACAAAAGAAATAAAATGTAGTAATTTTTAAAGCTTTCATAAAACAAATGTAAGAAGAAAGATTCACATTACACTTATTAAATCACTTCATCTCACTGACTTGCTAGGAAACAGCAGAACTAAGTTTCCTGAAACCCCCAATTACTCTACTTGTAAGGTTTTAACAGAAATTCTCCAGATAGGAAAAGAGAAAACAACAACAACAAAAAAAAAAAAAAAAAAAAAAAAAACACAGAGGTATGTACTGACACTATTAATACGTAACTAAGAACTACTCATTCTTTTTTCACGACACCGTCTGAAGGAGCCACACAGCAGATGCTAGTATCCCTTGGTATCTACAATCTGAAATACTCCTTTAAAGAACTTTCTGAATTGACTCCCCTGGAACCCAACGCCGCCATTCAGGATCTTCCCAGAGAGAACTGTCACACACACACACACACACACACACACACACACACACACACACACACAACGGAGGGAGTCGGTCCTGATGGGCTGCTGCCTTTAATCCCAGCACTAGAGTGGCGGAGGCAGGCCGATGGAGGCCAGCCTGGGCTACCCAGTTTCAGACCAGCCAGGGTTAGTGAGGCTGTTTCAGAGAGGGGACAAAAAAAAAAGAAAAGAAAAAGAAAAAGGCAAACAAACAATAAGTCGGAGAGACATAAAACCAGTATCTGATATGACAAACAGACCCTCAGGCTAGCTACCTACCATTTACGTATACGTGTGTGTGTACAGACCTAGGCACACACGCCCCAAAGCAATCTTGCCTAACTTCTCCCTTCTCGCTACCCATTAAGTCTTACGAAATTGCAAAAACCACTCCCAGCCTCCCAACCCTTCCACGATCCAAATCGGCCTCTGCCGAAGCCCTCGGTCCTCCAGCTCCGAAACCGGGCCGTGCAGCAGGACACCGAGCAGCAGCGGCGTGCAATCTGCAAGCATTCGACCGCGTCGCCGGAACAAAAGTGACAGACCGGCCTCGCCCTCGAGCGGCCGCCCCCCGGGGCCAGACCCCGGGCTTCACGCTTCCCCGCCGACGGGCTGAGGCCCGAGGCTGGCGGCTGCACCTCCGCCGCGGGCACCTCGCGGGGGTGGGCGGGGGGCCCGGGCCGCCCCGCCGCCACCGCCCCCCGGCCTCCGCGTACCTGCTTTGCACACCGGGGCGCTGGGGCTCCTCTTCTCCGCCGAGGGCCGGCCCTGCTCGGGGGACCTCCTCCGGTGGCGGACGCGCGCGGGGGGCGGGGCGGCGGGCAGCTCGCCGGGCCACAGGTGGGTGGGCGACGAGCCGGGGGACGACACGGTGGCCAGCAGGGGCGGCGGCGGCGGCGGTCGCGGAGGGCTGGCCCGGGCCGCAGGCGCCGTGCCGCGCGGGGACGTCACGGGCGCGCCCGTCTGCGTGGCC